GCATGCGCCTGTGGTTCTAGCTACCTGGGAGGCTGAGGCAGGAGAATTGCTTGAACCCGGGAGGCGGAGGTTGCAGTGAGCCGAGATCCGACCATTGCACTCCAGCCTGGTGACAGAGGGAGACTCCGTCTCAAAAAAAAAAAAAAGAAAAAAAGAAAAAGAGGAAATTCTGCAACACATGACAACACGGGTGAACCTCAAGGGCACTGACATAGCGCTAAGTGAAATAAGCAAGGCACAGAAAGACAGATACTGCGTGATTCCTCTTATACAAAGTACCTAAAATAGTCTAAGTCCTAGAATGAAAGAGTAGAAATGGTGGCTGCCAGGGACTGGAGGGAGGGGTGTGGGGAGTTACTAGTCACTGGACGTGCAGTTGCAGTGAAGCAGGATAAATGTGTTTGAGAGATCTCCCGTGCCACATTGCACCTATAGTCAGCAGTACTATAGTGTACACTTAAAAATGTGTTAATGCCAGGCACAGTGGCTCACACGTATAATCTCAGCACTTTGGGAGGCAGAGGCAAGGTGGATCGCTTGAGCCCAGGAGTTCGAGACCACCCTGGGCAACATGAAAACCCTATCTCTACAAAAGTAAAAAAATTAGCTGGGTGTGTTGGCATGCACCTATAGTCCCAGCTTCTTGGGATGCTGAGGCAGGAGGATCACTTGAGTCTGGGAGATGGGAGGAGGCTCTGAGCCAAGATTATACCCCTGTACTCCAGCCTTGATGACAGGGAAAGACCCTATCTCATTTAAAAGAAAAATATCTTAAGAAGGTGGATCACATGTTAAATGTCCTTATCATAAAATAAACTATAATGGTCACCACCTGGTGTCCAACATGGCTGTGGCTGGTGCTCCCCTACCACCGCTTTTTTTTTTTTTTTTTTGAGACAATCTCATTCTGTCACCCAGGCTGGACAATGGCATGATCTCGGCTCACTGCAACCTCTGTCCCCCGGGTTCAAGTGATTCTCCTGCCTCAGCCTCGCATGTAGCTGGGATTATAGGTGCCCATCACCATGCCCGGCTAATTTTTATATTTTTAGTAGATATGGGGTTTCACTATGTTGGTCAGGCTGGTCTCGAACTCCTGACCTTAGGTGATCCACTCACCTTGGCCTCTCAATGAGCCACCACACCCAGCCCAAGCATCCTTATTTGTAAGACCCTGCCTGTGGGAGATGGGGCTAGAGAGGCAGGGTCCCATCAGAGGGCTCCACTTGTAGATGCAGAGGCAGATAGGGCAAACCAAACACCCCACAGAAAGAATGCAAAGTCTGATTGAAGCACAAAGTTCAATTCCTGAGTCCCTTTCCCTTTAGTGCATAAGCAAAATAGTTAAGAACCCAGGCCTAAAATCAGACAGAATCAGCTCAAGTCCTGATTTTGCTGCATGTTAGTTTCTTTGCCTTTAAAATGGGGGTTGTTTGAGGACTGTATACGGAAAGGGAGGTGTGGGAACCAGAAGGAATAGCACCTGTGACTCTGGGCTTCCTTGCAGCTGAGCTTTGAGCACCTGTAGACCCAAGGGGCTGAGGGTAGCAGGGAGAAAGGCAACGGGAAAGACTGTAAGGTGTGAGAGTTCTTTCTAGAAGATAGACCTGAGGCTGGGATGGAAGCAATGAAGAATGCTTTGAAGGTCAATTGCCATGACTGGGTATGACAGTTGCAGATGCAAGTCTTATTCTGAATCAGAAGCTTTGTCATTGCCTTTGAGGACCCTTGGTGATATAATCTGTAGATTATTTAAAGGATTTGAAATGTAAAAGAAGCCGCACTTCTGGAACATTAGTAAATAACAGAGGGATTACCAGTGTGAATGGGCAGCCCCATGGTCCCTGAAGTTAAACAGCCCAAGGTTGTCACTTAGCTTGGCCAGGGAGCTCTCTGAAATTTCTTTATCTTTTTTTTGAGATGGAGTTTCACTCTTGTTGCCCAAGCTGGAGTACAGTGGTGCGATCTCGGCTCACTGCAACCTCTACCTCCCGGGTTCAAGCGATTCTCCTGCCTCAGCCTCCTGAGTGGCTGGAACTACAGGCATGTGCCACCACGCCCAGCTAATTTTTTGTATTTTTAGTAGAGATGGGATTTCATCATGTTGTCCAGGCTGGTCTCAACCTCCTGACCTCATGATCTGCCTGCCTCAGCCTCCCAAAGTGCTGGGATTGCAGGCATGAGCCACTGCACCCAGCCTGAAATTTCTAGATCTAAGGAAGAATTTGTAACTTCTATTTGCCCTTCTGTTATTTTACAATCCTTATGTTTCAGTCTTTTTTCCTAATTTTAACTTACTTAGACTCCAAGCTCAATCCGTGATCCATTTCCTTTTCCCTGTCCTCAATACAACCGCATGAACACAATATTCTACAAAAAAAAAAAAAAAAAACAGAATCAACAAAGAGCTAAGACCAGAAAAAACTGGAATATACATTTTAAAAATTGGCACTGGAGAATAAATCTTTCTCGGAATTTTCTTAAAGCATTTTTTCCTTGAAAAGAAAGCCAAATCCTAAAGTAGAACACACGCGGTTGTAAATAAACAAAAACCTCACATATCTAGAATTTAGTTTTTTTCCAAGACAAGCTAACATTTTGCTCTTTCTGGGTTCCCTAATTGGACATTTCATTTTGCCCGAATCCTCATTATGGGAGGAATGGGCAGACCTGTCTTGTGGCTCCAGGGTTTCCGTGGGCAGTGAAGTATGTGCCTGGTGGTTTCGGAAGCCCTGGCTCTTGTTCATTTCACCAAAAGCAGCACATCTTTAAAAATGAAATTTTCCAGGCTCTTAGCCCCTAGAGCAACCTTGCAGGGATAGATGATTTTGATGCTTATGGGCCCACAGAATGTCTCATAGCCTTAAAAATGTCATCAGGCACTCCCCTGCGCAGCAGTGACTGCTGATATGCGTCCCATGGGTGGAACAGCTGAGGAACGGCATTACCAAGGTGGCGTTTCTAACCTTTATTGCATTTCTTGTTCGCTGACAGCCTAATCCCTCGCAGTCCTGCAGTCTGTTGATTCTTGTTAATTTCTTCTCATTACACTGGTCTCTAGGCTATGGCTGTGTATTGAACAGTGTTGGTCTATGTGATACAATTCAGGGCTTGTTTCAGTCAAAACTCCCACCATGGGCTGGGCGCAGTGGCTCACACCTGTAATCCCAGCACTTTGGGAGGCCAGGGCAGGTGGATCACCTGAGGTCAGGAGTTCGAGACCAGCCTGGCCAACATGATGAAATCCCATCTCTACTAAAAATACAAAAATTAGCGCAGCATGCTGGCAGGCACCTGTAATCCCAGCTACGCAGGAGGCTGAGGCAGGAGAATCACTTGAATCCAGGAGGTGGAGGTGGAGGTGGAGGTGGCAGTGAGCTGAGATCACACCATTGCACTCCAGCCTGGGTGACAGAGGGAGATTCTGTCTCAAGAAAGGAAAAAAAGAAAAAAACTCCCACGTGGCTGCCACCCTCTGGGTTGTCGCAGCCAGAGAAGCCAGTTCTCCACCATGCGGCATTTCCCCTGGCCTTCTGGAATCAGGCATCACCTTCCTTCCCCTGCCCTGTGGTCACTTACAGCTGCAGCATTAGGCCCACCTCTTGCTGGCCATCCGTTCTCCACCAAGGCCTGCCCCTGCCTCCACATGGGCCCCATGCATGTTCTAGGTGCTTTCCTGAGTGTTTAAGCTGGCCAAACTGAATCATAGAGCCACAGCATCTTAAAGCTGGAAAAAATATTAGGAATTTTCTAGGCCAGCCCTGTATGTTTTCAGGGAAGGAAATTTTGGTCCAAGAAAAGCTTCAATGGTAAAGGTGGCATTGAGACTGATTGCAGAACTGGGGTGAGAATCCATGATTTGATGGGATGGATTGTAGCGGGTCTAGTTAATCAGGATTGCCACTCCCATGATGTGTGTCAGATGACTCTTGTTCCGCCTGAACTCTCAATTATAAGTCACTTGAACCAGCATCGATATGATCTGTTAAAAATCAACCTTGAAATGGTTCTGTGGAAAAATGGATGGTATTATGATATTGCAGTCTTATGACCTGTGTTAGCCCTGCTGATACTTACTGCATGTCAATGGCCAAAACCACAAACCTCCATGTCCCCAGTTTGGGCTTGGTAGCCTGAGGAGGTGCAGGTTATGAGTGTGATAGTGTGCAGGTATTGTGGCAACTTGATACTCAAGGTCATAGAATGTCATTTTCTTCCTCTGATGATTTCTGAAATAAAAGGAACTTGGAAGGGCCCTGAAATGGATATGAAACATGTATTTTGTTTGTTTTTGCCATCAGCTCATCCTCTGTTAGGGACAGTGTTACATACAGTAAGATCAGTAATATTTATGCGCAGAAGGCTCTCGGTAGGCTTTTAGAATGTGTGGGATTCTGTGGTGATGCTGTGCAGAGTTAGGGGGACTTCAGTAGTTGTATTTACCTTTCATCATTGCCTGAGTTGACCCTTTTGGCTATTTATTAAATCGCAGTTTTATTTCTGTGCCACCTATACCTGTGGAATGTGTGGTTCCTTGACTGAGATTGTATTTGCAACATACACAGTACAGATTTTCTTTTTCCTTCTTTCTTTTTCTTCTTCTTTTTTTAAGACAGAGTCTCACTGTCACCCAGGTTGGAGTGCAGTAGCACAATCTTGGCTCTCTGAAACCTCCACCTCCCAGGCTCAAGAATTCTCCCACCTCAGTCTCCCAAGTAGCCGGGCTTACAGGCGTCCGCTAACACGCCAAGCTAATTTTTATGTTTTATTTTTTAGTAGAGACAAGGTTTCACCATGTTGGCCAGGCTGATCTCAAACTCCTGACCTCAAGTGATCTGCCTGCCTTGGCCTCCCAAAGTGCTGGGATTACTGGCGTGAGCCACCGTGCCTTGCCAGAGTTTCTTAACTCAGTTGATAATGTGTCTTCCTTCTGGGCCAAGTGTAAAATCACCACAGTAGATATGCAGATGTTCCAGCGTTTATTCCGTTTTATCTTCCAGGCTGTGTGGCTACCCTCCTTTTTATGATGAAAATGACTCCAAACTCTTTGAGCAGATCCTCAAGGCGGAATATGAGTTTGACTCTCCCTACTGGGATGACATCTCCGACTCTGGTAGGTCTCTCACAGGCAGCTCCCAGTGGGCCGCCCCTGCGACACTTACACCCAGACCACGTGACCCTGATAGGCCCAGGGGACCCTGGGGAGCTCAGAGCTGTTCTGAGGGTCCTGTCTTGGCTGGCTGCCGTAACAAGATACCATAGACTGGGTGGGTTAAACAGCAAACATTTATTTCTCGCAGCTCTGGAGGCTGGGAGGTCCAAGATCAAGTCACCAGCACATTGAGTATCTGGTGAGGGCCCACTTCCTGGTTCATAGACTGCTGTCTTCTCACTGTGTCCTTCTTACCGTGTCTTCACATGGCAAAAGGGGCGAGAGGCTCACTTAAGTCTCTGATAAGGGCAATAATCTCATTCATGATGGCTGCACCCTCATAAGCTAACTACCCCCGAAAGGTCCAGTCTCCACATACCATCACACAGTTTGGGATTTCAGCATATGAACTGTGGGGGATTAACACACTCACAGCACACAGTTCATAGCAGCTCTCAGGAAGCTTCACAAGCTACATATGTGGGTTTGACTTGCAATGAAAGAGGATAAGGTTGGGGCATCTGGCTTGAGCAGTGCTGAGAGATGGGGACCCACTCATCCACCTCTCCTAGACCTGGAGTTCTGGGTGCTCCAGAAGTAAACCAGTAGTAGCTAGCATTTATTGAGCTCTGACTGTATGCTCCGCGCAAGTTAGCACCATTTGTGTGCTGACTCACTCAGTCCTCAGGACAGCCTGTCAGGCAGGTATTACTATTATCCCCTTTTGACAGATGAGGAAACCGAGGCCCCAGAAGGTGAAATAACTTGACCAAAATCATACAGCTAGTAAGTGGCAGAGCCGGGATTTGAAATGCCACACTGAAACGTTCTAGGGAAATTCGCTGTTCCTTCCTCGGGGATAAAGATCAAAATCAAGGCCTGTAGAAATTAATGAAATCTCTCTGAGCCTCAGTTTCCTTACTGGTAAGATGAGGCTGGTAATACTATTCCATCTGCCATAGAGTCTAGCAGAAGGTTGAATTGAAATCATGAATGGGACGATATGTTACAGTCTCCATGAGCTATTCAAAGAGAGCATTTTATTATTTATGTTATTTCCTTCTACGTGGAAATGCCTTGGTTTTATCTTCAGTCTCTGAAAACGTGGGTCCAGAGTATAGTTCTACAAGGCTTGCAGGAAAGAGCCTCATGGGAAATGTGTTCCTTCTGGGCTCAAAAGAGCACAGCCTTCCTCTAGAAGCCCAGTCCTGTGGGCAGTGAGGGGCCACACCATGCAGTGCAGCAGATTTTGGACCTGACCATGATGTCATCAGTTCTGCCACTGGCCCCTCCATTGTCCAGGGTCCTGTTTCTGGGCCGTGCCCTCTCCTGGGCTGCCAGGTACTCCCTGCTTCCCCCAGCAGGGCATAGCTCCCTGCATCACGGTTTCCTGCTCCAGGGTTTGTAGTAGCCAGAGTACGCCACACATGTGCTTTCTGGGGACTTGTTATTCACAGAGCCTAGCCCAAGACCTGGGGGGCTGAGCAGGTGCTCAGCAGGTTTAATTGAATCAGCCACGTCTAACACATGGAGATGATGTTACCAAAACAGTTCTCTAAGGCAGGGTGGACTCATTAGAGGCACATGATTACCAAGATATTTCCTCTCTTCTCTCAGCCTGCGTATCACTAACCACTGGAGATAAGGGTCTTGGAGCTGGCCGTCAGGGTCCCAGGCTGCCTCCTCACTACTGGGTCACCCTGGAGTGCCAAGCCCTGGCTTTCCCTTCCCCACATGCTGGTGCCTTTGTGTCCAAGGTACAGCAGGGCTGGTCTCGTCTTTTTCATGTTACACACGCTCTTCCTGAAGACCTGGTGGGATCACATCGTCACATCTCAAGCTGCAAAGTGATTCCTTCCCTTGTGGCTTCTTTTTGAATAGCAAAAGACTTCATTCGGAACCTGATGGAGAAGGACCCGAATAAAAGATACACGTGTGAGCAGGCAGCTCGGCACCCATGGTAAGGAAAAGCACCCACTCGGCAGACCGTGCCATTTAATGCCACCCAGAGGGGCACAAAATTTCCTGTTGGCTGTTCTCGTTTATGAAATCCACACAGGATTATTATGAATTTCATCTCATTCTGGCCGGTGACTTTCCTCCTCTCCCCAGGCCAACATTTGAACTCTTACACCCTCAGGACACAGCTTCTGGAAGCACTTATGAGAAGTTAGTATGTATATTAGCCCCTGTCCATGCTGCTGTAAAGACATACCCGAGGTTAGGCGTGGTGGCTCATGCCTATAATCCCAGCCCTTTGGGAGGCCAAGACAGGTGAATCACCTAAGGTCAGGGGTTGGAGACCAACCTGGCTAACATGCTGAAATGCTGTTTCTACTAAAAATACAAAAAATTAGCCAGGCATGGTGACATGCGCCTGTAATCCCAGCTGCTGGGGAGGCTGAGGCAGGAGAATCGCTTGAACCAGGGAGGCAGAGGTTGCAGTGAGCTGAGATTGCACCATTGCTCTCCAGCTTGGGCACCAAGAGTGGAACTCCGTCTCAAAAAAAAAAAAAAAAGACATACCTGAGACTGGACAATTTACAAAAGAAGGAAGTTTCCTTGGACTCACAATTCCACGTGGCTGGGGAGGCCTCAGAATCATGGTGGAAGGCAAGGAGGAGCAAGTCATATCTTATATGGATGGCAGCAGGCAAAGAGAGAGAGCTTGTGCAGGGGAATTCCTCTTTACAAAACCATCAGATCTTGTGAGAGACTTATTCATGCTCACAAGAACAGCATGAGAAAGACTTGCCTCCATGATTCAATTACCTCCCACCAGGTCCCTCCCACAACACATGGGAATTCAAGATGAGATTTGGGTGGGGACATAGCCAAACCATATCAGTATGCAAAGATGGCTGCTTCTGCACTTTACAGAAAGTCATTAGAAATATTGGAGGTAATTGCCCGATGAGGCATTAGGATCGGAGTTTTATTCCTTGAGTTTTTTACTCAGTAGTTACATGAATTGAAGATACATATTTTTTCCTTTTAAGATGCTCTTCGACTTTGTGTTTTGTCAGCCCTAGAGGGACTAATTGATAGCTGATGGCATTCTACACATTTTCAGCAGTGACTGTGAGGCTACCTTGCCTTGTGCCACTAATTTAGAAACTGGCTTCACTGTCAGCTAGCTGCGATGCTAGGTTTACACTTGACTTTTTGAGCCTCAGTTTCCTCATTGTTAAAACAAGAATAACAATATCTAATCTGCAGATTATCGACATAAGAAATAACGGAGTTAATGCCAGGCTGGTCTCAAACTCCTGACCTCAGGTGATGTAGAGGGTTTAGCACAGAAACTCTCTGGCCCATCAGAAATGCTTAGTTTATTGTAGCAGTTGTTTTTTTTTGTTTTGGTTTGGTTTTTGAGATGGAGTCTGTGTCGCTCAGGCTGGAGTGCAGTGGCGCAATTTCAGCTCACTGCAGCCGCCACCTCCTGGGTTCAAGGGATTCTCCTGCTTCAGCTCTCAAGTAGCTGTGATTAACAGGCATCCACCACCATGCCTAGCTAATTTTTTTATATTTTTAGTAGAGACGGGGTTTCACTATGTTGGCCAGGGCGGTCTTGAACTCCTGACCTCAGGTGAGCCACCCACCTTCGTCTCCCAAAGTGCTGGGATTATAGGCCTTAGCCATCGTGCCCGGCCTGTAGTGATTGTTATGTAAGCACCATGAACCTCCATTGTAAACAAATGTTGAGAGTTGTAAAATACCAAAGATAATGAAAATAAATGGACAGAACCTTGAGGTCAGGAGAAAATCCCCCTAAAAATCACTCCGGAAAACCATCCTTCTTTGTCCCCCACCAACCTTTGCAGCATTTCCCCCAGGGTCTTGTTGTCTGGTCAGCCTTCTAAAGGGGACCTGCTGACAGACAATGTCCTGATCCCATTTCACAGTATTTCAGTGTATAACACCTGTCATTTACTGAGTCTCTATTATATTCTAGACACTGGGCTAATTGCTCTAATGTATGATCTTCTTTCTTTCCTTTATAATAACGCTGTGAAGTTTTATGTTCATTTCAGAGATAAATGGGGAGATAGCCGGGCATGGTGGTTCACATCTGTAATCCCAGCACTTTGGGAGGCCAAGGCGGGTGGGTCACTTGAGGTCAGGAGTTTGAGACCAGGCTGCCCAACATGGTGAAACCCCATGTTTACTAAAAACACAAAAAGCCAAGCATGGTGGTGTGTGCCTGTAGTCCCAGCTACTCGAGAGACTGAGGCCTGGAAATTACTTGAACCCAGGAGGGGAAGGTTGCAGTGAGCCAAGATGGCACCACTGCACCCCAACCTGGGCGGTAGAGCCAGACTCTACCTCAAAAAAAAATAAAGATAAATTAACTTATCCGAGACCACACAGCTAGCTAATAGCAAAGCCAGGATTCCATCCAGAACTGTCTGATTGCAAAGTGAATTCTCTTCACCATCACACTGGAAGGAGAAGAAGAGGGGAAGAAAGGAGAGGGCTGGGGGAGAAAGAAAGAATGATCTGAAGAAGTGAACAGTCGTGATTGTGTATCATCTTGATTTTAAGTCACTTTAGACGGTAGTCAAAGTATGTGATGGTAAAGATACTGAAGGTTTTCTTACTTGTTAAATAATAGGCCTTTAAAGCTGTAAGACTTTTGAGATTATCTTACAGAGAAGAAAAATGACCTCAGTAAGAAAGGAGCTATGACCCTAGTGGTTTTACCATCCATACTTGCTCTGTAGAAGGCAGGAAAAAGGCCCGTTCACACCTGCCCTCTCCTTCACCGAACATTTTGGAAAAAACAAGGTAGGGAGAGGACATTTTTCCCGAGGAGGCTGGGAGAGGGCACAGTGGGCTCAGCGGGAGGTGGTGCCCACACTGAGTGCCGCACCATGAGAAGCCTTCCCCAGACCAGCAGGAAGAGGAGGGGATTCCAGGCAGACGGGCACCTGAGCCCACAACACAGGAGCTTAATACTGCACGTGCGTTCATGATCATGAGCACTCAGTATTCCAGAGAAGGAGACGATGGAGGACGCAGGAGATAAGACTGGGAGGGAAGGCAGGAACTAGCAGGCAGGGCAGGGTCCCGGCGTCAGCACTCATTACCCATGCGGATGAGCTCCAAGCCCTTTGGGCTGCCCCTGTCGAATCGGATCATGAATAACAATAATACAGACCCCGCAGGTCTTTTCAAGGGGTTACGTGAGATAATACATGTGACGAGGAGGAAGCGTTACACCAGACACATCTGTGATTCATCCAGGTTGCCATTAATTTATGACTCTCCCAAGGAATTGTACCTTTCCCTTTGGGCATTGGGGTCCCTAAGATCTCTTAGACAGGGTGCTCAGGTTTGATTTTAGAAAACCCAATCTAGCAGGTGATGGGGGATGGGAGTGTGGCCGGAAGGTGTGGCCTAGAGGTGGGAAGGGGGCTGGGCCAGAGGAGGGTGACAGTGGCCTGCGCCCAGGAAGCATGGCAGGGATGGGGCAGGGCAGAGAGGACTGAGTGACTGTCAGGGGCTGAGAAGCCACAAGCATTGGGCAGAGCAGTGGCAGGGTGAGGTGAGGAAGAGAAGGGTTTAGGATTATTCCCAGGTTTCCTTAAGGAGGCTTAAGGGACGGGGGCGATGATTGTGCTGGGTGCAGGCTTGGAGGAGTGAGTTCAGCCTGGGGCAGGCTGTACCAGAGGTGCTGGGAGCCGTCTTGATGGAGAGCCGTGGTGGGCACTCTGCTGAATGAGACAGGAGTCCAGAAAGAGGTCAAGCTAGAGACAAAGGCTTCAGAGTTATCAGCCCACGTCGCATCGTAAGATGTCATAGCCTGTGAGCCTATCCGTGAATGCCTTCATTCAGAGGTGGCTTTTCCCAGGGCTTTATCATTTTTACAGTACCTTTGAAACCCCCCAAGAAGTCAAACCCTGGAAAAGGACGAAAACGAATGCACTTGACCCAAGCATCGCTGAAACTCTCTGCTCTCTCTAACACGTATATTATTAATGCATAATATCTGCATTAATGATATACGTGTCTCTTCTATGTAAAATTGCCTGGGCAAAGGAGAACACATATTCAGCAGAGAGCTGGCAGAAAGCGGAGTCATTCCTCCAGGGTGGGGGGGGCGCCCGCCTCATCAGCGGCATCACTCTGGAAGCCGTGGTCTCCGCACATCCCTGACACCCCCAGAGCGTCATCTCTTTCTCCATACTTGCCCTCCTGACTTCATCAGGGCCACACAGGGCGAGGGAGGCCGTGGCAATCGCAGACACCTTCCTTAGCCCCAAAACAGATCACTCTGGACAGGAGAGGGCTCCTTTCAAAACTGCCCCTTGGAAGGCAGCTGGCGTCTTGACAGATGGTTCCTGCCCCTTTCACTGAGGATGGCCATTCTCTCTGTGGTATGTGCTCAGGCCCCAACAGGCTACTGACTGATGGCCACAGTGTGGGGAATGTCCAGGGTCAGGATGGGAACCCAGGCCCCCTTCCAGGGCAGCGCTGGCCAGAGCTCATTCCTCCAGCTCAGTAGTTCTGAGCATCTACCTCTACACTCATTGATAAGCTGAAGTGATGAGAAAGAGACAGAGAGAGATTAATTTGTTTTAAGGATTTAGCCTGTTTCATGCAATTCTGGGGACCACAAATCCAAAATTTGCAGGTCGAGCATGGTGGCTCATGCCTGTAATCCCAGCACTTTGGGAGGCTGAGGCAGGTGGGTCACAAGGTCAGGAGTTCAAGACCAGCCTGACCAACATGGTGAAACCTTGTCTCTACTACAAATACAAAAAATTAGCCAGGTGTGGTGGCGCATGCCTGTGATCCCAGCTACTCGGGAGGCTGAGGCAGGAGAATTGCTTGAACCCAGGAGGTGGAGGTTGCAGTGAGCCAAGATCATGCCACTGCACTCCAGCCTGGGCAACAAGAGCAAAACTCCATCTCAAAAAAAAAAAAAAAAAATTGCAGGGCAGGCCAGCAGGTTAGAGACCCAGGGAAGAGCTGATATTGCAGCTCACGTCCAAAGGCAGACGGAGACAGGAGTCCCTTTTCCTGCTTTTCATGAAGACCATCAACTGATTGGACAAGGCTCACCCATGGCATGGCCTCTAGTTGGTTTCACTCAAAGTCTACTGATTGAAATGTTCATCTCATCTCTTTGCCAGCAACATCAAGCTAGTGTTTGGCCAAATATCTGGGTACTGTAGGCCTAGCCAAGTAGCCACATTCACACTCCTGAATGTTCACTGAGACCCCTTCCCGTCTCCTAGGCTCTAGCCACCTGAGCTCTGATTAGCCGAAGGAATTGGGAGGTGGCCCAGGACTGGCCAGTGCTGTCTGGGATACACGCCAGGTGCCACCAAGCCCATCTTGAGCAGGTGGCTGGAAAAGTGCAGACTCAGAGCCATGAAGGTAGAAGAGACCACATACAAAACACAAAACCAGAAAAGGCGAGGCGAGATGAGGCTGTTGGTCCATGAGCAGTGGGTAGCGAGACAGGCTGTAAAAGGTGTGGTCACGTAAATGCCGTCTGTGTTGTTCTGGTAGGTGTTAAAACGAGAAAGCTGGTGGGCTGCGGTGACTCACACTTGTAATCCCAGCACTTTGGGAGGCCAGGGTGGGAGGATCACTGGAGGTCAGGAGTTCGAGACCAGCCTGGCCAACGTGGTGAAACGCTGTCTCTACTAAAAACACAAAAATCAGCCTGGCATGGTAGTGCATGCCTGTAATCCCAGCTACTTCGGAGGCTGAGGCAGAAGAATCACTTGAACCCGGAGCCGAAGGTTGCAGTGAGCCGAGATCGCTCCGCTGCCCTCCAGCCTGGATGACAGAGTAAGACTCTGTGTCAAAAAAAAAAGAAAAAAAAAAACAGAAAGCAAGGGAGACATGCATGAAGCGTGTTCGCCCACAGCATTGCCTACATGTGTGTATATGGATTTATAAAGCAGTCCTGCTGTAACAGAAGCATTGGTCAATTTCTAGGACAATCTGGGTGACCACTAGGATCCCTTCCAATGTCCAGACTCCATGTCTTGGGATTTGTTGGTGAAGGGTGCTAGAGTTAGTGGCACTGAGCATCAGCGCTGTCCTGATGTTTCTGTTGCAAGTTTCCTAGCTTATCGTGAGCAGGGGCACCACTGTCATTGCACCTCGTACTGGAGGAGGGCAACGGTGTGCTATTGTGGCCCGAGATGGCTGCACCGCTGCAGGAAGTCTGGGTAACACGCAGCCTGGGGGCCACCTTCTGCCTAGCTAGATTCCCACTGCTGCACAGCCCAGGACTGTGGGAAATGGACATGAAACATTCCTAACATAATTAGAAGCTTCTGTTTTCTTACATCTGGGTACACGTGAACCCACAGATATAGCCTGGGACACAGAGTACAGGCAGCAGGCCTCAGGCCGTAGTGTCTGGGACCACACTGCGGACAGGCAGGTAGACCCCAAGGCCTGGAGCCCCCCCCCCGACCCCCGTCCCAGCCTGTTTGCTTTGAAGCCTGGCTCTGCCCGGCAGCGCTGCTCAGCCTGAGGAATTCCAGACTTCCCACCGATTTGGCCTTGTCATTTCTAAGAAAGAGCTGGCCACTGCAAGCTTGGACTGGCATCCTTTCCTGAGGGTGTAGCCTTTCAACAGGGTCCAGGAGGAATCTCCGCCCTGGGCTCTCCGGGAGAAAAAGCTTCATAAAGATGTCTCCCATTCCTTCATCCTCCTTGACTCGTTACTCTTGTTTCAGATGTAGTTGGCCATTCAAATATTCTATTTCTATTTCAGGGATATGGGTCTGGGAAGGAAGGTAGTTGACAGTTCTTGGAAATGGAAACCTGGTTCTCTTAAGCTATTTCCCGAGTGTCCTCTTGGCTGTGTGTTTTCAGCTCTGCTGGGAAAAGGTGGTGGAGGAAGAGTTGTTTTGAACTGGGAGCATCAGCCTGGATTCTAAACTTAGGCCAGTCTGGCACCGATTTAATATCAACTCTGTCCACCATGTCTGCAGTCCGGAAGGGAAAGAAAGTCTGGCTGGGATGCTTTCTCGTCTGAACACGCCTGAGCCGTGTGTGTACCTTTCATCTCCGGAAGCAGTTGGAAGTGATGGTTGTGTCTGGGCTGTTTTGTGTCCGGGGGGCCACTGTCTGGGGGCTGGGGGGTTTCCTCCCTTGCCAGTTACCTTCCAGCTGGGAACGCTGGTCCCTGACTCTGATCCCCTTAACTTCTGCAAGATTCATGAAATTCTTTCTTAGGCATTAGACGCTAACCCAGAATTGAATAGTTTGGTGCTAGAGAGAAAGGAAGAGAGAAGGATCAAAGACCAGGAAAGTCTGGTCGCAGAGCACAGCGGCTCTGGGGGAAGGCCAAGTGGCTGCCAGCAGGGAGAGGAGGTGGCTGTGGTCGAGAAGGAAGGCTGTGGTCCAGGAGGGAAGAAAGAGCTGGGAGATCTCCGGGCAATTCTCAGCCTAGAGATTGTAAGCCCAGAGAGAAGGGGAAGCTGTAATAAGAAAGAGACAGCAGAGGGCGGAAAGAGTGGGATGGAAAGAGTGACATCTCCTACTGTCAGGAGAGGAGCCCAGGAGCAAATGTATGTTCCTGTCTGCTTGTGGAAGGTTCAGGAATCAGCTAGCGCTAAATCAAAGCTCACTCGGGGCTGCCAGGGGCAGCCGTCCATGAAGTTCTGAGAATTTCTAGGAGATGCAAGGGTGGAGGATGCCCCGGGTGGGGTTGAGTGGAGCTGGGAATCTTCTCACCCATTGTGGAGCAGGTGGGGAGCACAGGCTCACAGGTGTTGAGAGCAGAATGTGGCAGGGCTCAGCTGTGCTGAGATGAAGCTGAGAGCCCACGGATGTGAATGTGGCCCTGGGGGCAGAGCCCCTGGGGAAGGCAGAGAGGAGGGACCTCGGGTCTGAGGAAGCTGGGAAGCAGGCTGGGAAGGCGTCTGGTGGTGAGGCCAGTTGGGGAACAAGTGTGAGTCCCCGGCGGTGGTGCATGGGGGCTCAAAGCTTGTGTGGAGGCAGAGGGGGTGAGAGGAAGGGAGAGGGCGGGAAACGTTGTCACTGTGGATTCTGATGTTACAGGAATTGGGGTCAAAGAAGGAAAAAGTGAGAGCCAGCGAGCAGTCAACCAGGAGGGTGCTGGCGGGTCTGGGGAGGGTACAGAGTGCAGAGGCTGAGATAGGACTTTGGGCTGAGGGCAGTAGAATGGGTGGGTTTAGGGAGTGGCCAGGTGATGATGACATCAGCAGCCTGGAAGGGCAGTAGCCAGCCACACTGTCGCCAACCGAACCTCGGCTCTCCTGAGGCTAGGGTAAGACCTCCGCTCGTGAGACGCAGTGTCAGGGCTGGGAAAAAGCACCTTTGCCTATGTTTCAGGATTGCTGGTGACACGGCCCTCAACAAAAACATCCATGAGTCTGTCAGTGCCCAGATCCGGAAGAACTTCGCCAAGAGCAAATGGAGAGTAAGTCTGGGGCATGTGAAATTCCCTGTGGATTAACCCCTCGTGACACTGGCTCTCCAATGGGAGTAGTCCTGAAATCCCCAGAACCTCACATGAATAATTTTGATAATTTTAACTGCTAGTAATAAAGACTTAGAGGGAATCTTGTGGTGCAAGAGGGATGGAGTGTGTGATGAAACACTTCCCCTCCATGATGAGAAACAACAATACCAGCTCTTCCTCGTCTTCTGTTTCTCGGAAATTGGCCGGGTACAGTGGCTCACGCCTATAATCCCAGCACTTTGGGAAGCTGAGGCAGGCAGATCATCAGGTCAGGAGTTGGAGACTAGCCTGGCCAACATAGTAAAACCCGGTCTCTACTAAAAATGCAAAAAAAATAGCCAGCCGTGGTGGCACACATCTGTAATCTCAGCTACTTGGGTGGCTGAGACAGGAGAATTGCCTGAACCCAGGAGGTGGAGGTTGCAGTGAGCTGAGATCACACCACTGCACTCCAGCCTGGGAGACAGTGCGAGACTCCATCTCAAAAAAAGCAGGAAATCTGAGTTGAGCTCATCAATGTTTCCTGATAAAAGTTTGACAGATTTAAATCATAGAGGTTTTGTGATCATCTATTGATTACCTAACTTCCTAATCTACTGATTACTTGACCTCCCCTCCGTGTTCCAATCAGCATGAGTAATTGGAGCTGACTATTTTGCCATGAGGGCTAATGGTGAAAGACAAGACCCTAACAAAATTAATTTCACTGGCTGGCCTGCTTTGTTCAAAGGAAATGTTATTATTAGGTTGGTGTAAAAGTAATTGCAGTTTCTTCCATTAAAAGTCATGGCATGCTGGGCACAGTGGCTCACACCTGTAATCCCAGCACTTTGGGAGGCCAGGGCAGGTGGATCATGAGGTCAGGCGCTCCAGACCAGCCTGGCCAACATAGTGAAACCCTGTCTCTACTAAAAATACAAAAATTAGCTAGGCATGGTGGAAGGTACCTGTAATCCCAGCTACTCTGGAGGCTGAGGCAGGAGAATTGCTTGAACCTGGGAGGTGGAGGTTGAAGTGAGCCAAGATGGTGCCACTACACTCCAGCCCAGGTGACAGTGCGAGACTTCGTCTCAAAAAAAAAAAAAAAAAAAAAAGTCACAGCAAAAACTGCAGTTACTTTTGCATCAGCCTAAATATTTCAGACAAAAGTACCAACAATAGGAAAGTAAAAACTCATTTCAAATCGAACATTGTAAGGTATTCACTATAATATGCCTTGTATTCTAAAGGTCACATCTTTTAAATCACAGAGAGAATTGTTTACATTTATTCTATGTAGTTATGATATTTGTGATATCAGAAGAAAACTATTTTAAGTCTCTAAAATATTTAGTTGGGGAAAGGGTTTAATAAATCAGTGGACTTCCGGAAGAAGGCACAACGTAAGTTTTCTTTCTTGAGTAGCACGAGAATGACTGAAGGAATTTGAAACACGTAGGCTAACGTGATGAGCAAGGAAACACTGTTGTCATCTTTTCTGATTGTCTGAAATATTGATCTGCTTTTTTCCTTCCTGAAACTGCAGCAAGCGTTTAATGCCACGGCTGTCGTGAGACATATGAGGAAACTCCACCTTGGCAGCAGCTTGGACAGTTCAAATGCAAGTGTTTCCAGCAGCCTCAGTTTGACCAGCCAAAAAGACTGTGCGTATGTAGCAAAACCAGAATTCCTCAGCTGACACTGAAGATGAGCCTGGGGTGGAGAGAGGGGAGCCGGCCTCTGCCGAGCACCTCTTGTTTGCCAGGCACTTTCTGTACTTAATCCCATCTAATGCGACCTTAGGACGTTTCTTTAAACCTAAGCATTGGGCCGGAAGCAGTGGCTCACACCTGTCATCCCAGCACTTTGGGAGGCCGAGGCCGGCGAACCATTTGAGTTCAGGAGTTCGAGACCAGCCTGACCAACATGGTGAAACTCCTGTCTCTACTAAAATATAAAAATTAGCCAGGTGTGGTGTTGGGTGCCTGTAATCTCAGCTACTTAGGAGGCTAAGGGAGGAGAATCACTTGAATCCAGGAGGCGGAGGTTGCAGTGAGCCAAGATTGCACTACTACACTCCAGCCTGGGTGACAGAGCGAGACCTCCTTTCAAAAAAAAAAAAAAAAATCATTGAAAACTCACAGAACCCTAGGAATCACTATTTCCATTTACAGTTGAGAAATCCAGGGCTCGAGGTCCTCGCAGCCATGTCTGTCTGGATAAAGGCCTGGACTCCTTGTTTCCATCCTTCCCTCTGATTTACCTCTCATTGTGCAGTCACTCTTGTGGGTTGAGGAAGGGACAGCAGAGCCTCAGGACAGCCTGCTGTCATTGACTTCTATAACATACATTTTGGATGCAGACAGTTTGAGCTCATTTATATGAAGTGCATCGACTTTGCAATTAAAGTAACAGTATTTCATTGTCCATCTTTGCATGGACTTTCCATCATTGAAGGCTCATTTACACTCCCTTTATTTCTGTCCCCAACTCCTCCACTCTGTAGAAAGAATCTCTTCTTTGGCCCTTCCTGTGGGTCCGCTCCACGTCGGACCAGTGGCCCTGGTCTCCCTAGCCATGGAGCAATCCTGCAGCCTGGTCTCGCCCTGGGCATCATGCTCCTTCCCGTTTGGCTCAGGAAATGATTCCCTTCCTCTCCAAAAAAATGTTCCCATCTCATTTGGGCCATCCAGCCCTTACATTTTCCCAAGAAATTCTGTGAGCATCCCCCTGGCACACCATAGAGCCACACTTTCCTTTCACCCTGAATCTTTTGCACCTGGTTGAAGGGAAGCCCGAGGTAGATCATTTTTTTACAGATTCATATACCGGCATTGACAACGAAGCCCTTTGGGGTCATTCCTTTCATGGCTCTCCCTGTGTCTGAGCTCACAGATTCCCTGGAGGGCTGCACCATGGAGCTCAGTCACGTCAAGGCCTCCCATGTCAAGGCTTCTGATGCCTGGACATCCTCTGGGGAGGGTGTTAGCGCAGCCTGTGAGGAGCTCCACCAGCCCAGGGGACTGCTGAGTTCACACAGGAATACGTGAACAGCCCTATTCTTCCTTTCCTTTTTCCTTTCCTTCTTTTTTCCTTCCCTTTCTTTTTCTTTCCCTCCTCTTTTTTTTTTCTTTTCTCTTTTCTTTCTTTCCTTTGTCTTTCTTTTCCTTCTTTCTCTTTCTTTTCTTTCTGTCCTTCTTTTCTTTTCTCCTCCCTCCCTCCCTGTCTTTCCTGTCTTTCTTTCTTTCCTGTCTTCCCCTTGCTCCTTTCCCTTCTCCTTTTCCCTCCCCACCTTCTCTCCTCTCGTCTTTCTCTCACTCTCTGTCGCACAGACTGGCGTGCAGTGGCGTGATCATGGCTCACCATTGCAACCTCAACCTCCTAGGCTCAAGCGACCCTCCTGCCTCACCCTGTTGAGCAGCTGGGACCAGGCATGGACTGCCATGCCTGACTAATTTTTGTGTTTTTTGTAGACCCCGGGTTGCCCCAGCTGGTCTGGAACTCCTGAGACTCAAGCGATCTGCCTACCTTGGCCTCCCAAAATGTTGAGATTACAGGCGTGAGCCACCATGCCCTTATTTCAAAGGGCTCTGTGTCACAAAATGCTTTCTAGCCAAGAGTACACACAACACACCAGGGGTAGGAAGGGAGTATCATTCTTTATTTCTTCTTAAAATACCTACGTTACAGAGCTATGATAAAAAGAGAACAATGTGTATGATGACGCTACGTCGTCAGCAGTAGCCTGGCGCCTGGTACGTATTAAGAGCTGAAACGTCATGTACCACAGTAGTGAAAACATGTCATTTTCAAATACAAAGTAGTTCAAATTATACAGAGCAAAGGAGAGGAGAGGTCTAAGAATAAAGCATTTTGAACACATCTCAGAGGCTTTCCCACAGGTAGGTAAAAATAGAGAGTCACATATGGATAAAAATTTGCCCCCCCTCCCCCACCCACTTGTCAGGCACAGTGGCTCACACCTGTAATCCCAGCACTTTGGGAGGCTGAGGTGGGTGGATCACAAGGTCAAGAGTTCGAGACCAGCCTGGCCAACATGGTGAAAACCCAACTCTCCTAAAAATACCAAAATTAGCTGAGTGTGGTAGTGTGTGCCTGTCATCCCAGCTGCTCGGGAGGCTGAAGCAGGAGAATCGCTTGAACCTGGGAGGCAGAGGTTGCAGTGAGGCAAGATCATGCCACTGCACTCCAGCCTGGGTGACAAGAGTGAAACTCCACCTTCAGGGAAAAAAAAATGTTTGTCCCCACTATCTCCCATAAACCCAGCCCCTGTGACGCCTGGCAGTGGGAGTGGGGTGAGAATTTGCCTCTGAAGCTCTGAGGTCCGCTTCTGCTGTTCCCTGCAGGTCTGGCACCTTCCACGCTCTGTAGTTTCATTTCTTCTTCGTCGGGGGTCTCAGGAGTTGGAGCCGAGCGGAGACCCAGGCCCACCACTGTGACATCAGTGCACTCTGGAAGCAAGTGACTGGCCCTGGAGGTGGGGCCAGGGGGCAGGGCTGGGAAAGGGGAGCCCCAGGGTGGCCAGTGCCACGGGCCACTCCAGCGAGACCCCACCTTGCATGGTGCACTTCCTGCGTAGGACTGGAAGACCGAAGTTTTTTTATGGCCATATTTTATACTGCAATTCTGAAGTGTTCATTTCTCACAAACTGTACTGACTCGAGGGGCGCTGATTTCATAGGATCTGGTGCTGTATATACAAATCTTGCAAAGCTCGAACTGAACGGACCTTCTTCTTCCTCTCCCCCAACGCCGTCCTTCCCACTCTTCTCAGTGTAGGTGACCGTCTACGGTGTGTTTTTTCATTCATGACAAAAAACAAGGTTTCAACTGGATTATTTAAATATTGGTAAATATTGTGCATTAGGGTTTGTTTTTCCTTTAAAGAAGTATGTCCTTTGACTCTGTCGCTCAGTTACGTGACCTGTATCTCCTCCTCTTCAATAGTGGTTTTATGTTAACCTTTAAGAGATTTGTTTTTCCTCCAAGGAGAATTTAAAGGTATTTTTAAACATTCGAAGAAGAGGATCAAGAATCGGTCCGAGGCTAAGAGTGCGCTTGACTCATGTTCCTTCTCTCTCTCTCCTTTCCTTGGCGGGCGAGGCCCCTCCGTTCTGCAAAGCTGTCTTGTCTGCAGGGGGCTTTGGTGGGATTATGCACAAAGCCTTCGCTGGTAACCCATCCCACAGAGCCCTCACCCACCAGAGACCCCAGAGGCCTCTTGCTATCAGCAGTCAGAAATAAAGAAGCCTGCTCCCTCCCCGGAGACCCAGGGCTCAGCTTCGCAGGCCAAACTTGCTGTGAGTGAGATGCCCACACTGCAGAGACGTAGGAGTGTCCCTTGCAGAAGGAGCCAGCTGCCATTTGGTTGAAAGTGGGCCCATACACAACCCTCATTTCTCACGAGAGGTAGCAGATGAAAGCTCAGCTATGCGGTTCTCAAATTCATCTCTTTCTCTGTAGTTTTTTAAAAATGCGTTTCTAATCTTACCCTTCACATGGCTTCCAACACAAAGTTCTTTCTCCACATTGTTACCCTCATCTCACATGAATGTTTTCCAAAGGAAGGAAGGGAGGGAAGCGGCCTTGGCAAAGGATCCATTCCTGGTAGTAAGGAGAGGGGCCTGCCAGGCTAATAGGACTCGCGCTGTGGCCAGAGACCACGTCCGCCAGACCCAGCCAGTGTCTGAAGGCCTCCCACTGATCCGAGGAGCCTAAAATCAAAGATACACAGTGGTAGGGTCACCAAACGCCCCGCTTGCCTGAGACTGAAGGATTTCTCAGGCTGTGAACATTTCATGCTAAAACCAGGACCATCAGGGCAAACCAGGCGACGTTGTTGGCCCTTGTGGTGGGTAGGGTGCAGGAGAGAGCCAGGCAGTGTACAGCCCAGGGAAAGCTGCGTTTCAAGGAGGCTGTTCTGTAGAGCCAGGCACATGGCTTCAAGTGCCGGTCCTGCCTAGTGTCCCCCGCTCAGCCCTCAGGCCAATCCAATGCCTTGAGCCCACCAGGGTGTCCCAGCAGGTCTGCCTCATTACAGCCCAGCGACGCTGCTGGCTGTGTCCTCACATCCTTCTCCTGTGGCTGGCCTGTCCTGGGAAGTCTTTGTCACTTGCACACCTTTGCCTATGTCCAGGCTGAGTGTTGAGTGATGCCCCCCTCCATCCTCCCTACACACATGCACATGCACGCGCGCGCACACACACACACACACACACGCAGTTATGAGGCACGGCAGCTCCATCCCGCTCCCTGAGAAGGCAGCACAGGCACAGATGAGAGCAGTTGGGAAGACAGGCAGCTGGTCTACCCTGTCTCCGCACGCATCACAGGTGTGCCACGGCTTGGCAGGAATTCTGCATGGCATCTGCCGCACATGCTCACGGAGTGAAAAATTAAACTGTCACTCTTCAAAATCTGTAAAAAGCCTGGAAAAGTCTGTAAGATGACAATAGACTAGTTCAGAGTCAGGTGTCGCCTGAGTTGGCCATGCAGTGAATGAATATTATAAGTGATATTGGAGAAAACAGGTGTCTCTCCAGAGCTTCACCAGGCAATTGCTCACTAACAAGTGTCCTGGAAACATTCGAGTTCATACAGTGCAAGACAGAAAGTAAGAGAAGGCACTGAAAATGCACCCGAATCCGGTACCTAGGATGAGTGCGTGAATAGTTACGAGTAGCCCTTTGTGCTGTATACAACCATTTGCATTCAGAAAGCAGTATTGGAAGCAAGTTCCATTATTGGTGATTGAAGTATTTTCAGGAGCTGATACATGTGCTGCGTGTTATATGCACTTAGCTTGAAAGCATCCCTTACCCAAAAAGTGCAGAAGCCCTGAACAGTGTGGGCCGTGGTCCAGGTGCCCTCTCACTGCTCCGGTCAGTTCTTGGCCATGCTTGGCCTGTCACACCCAAGGTCTCAACAACATTGTGCGAGGAAACAGTGACTGGTTTCAGCCCAAGGGTCGACTGCTGAGCATGACATCAGGAAGCCTGTACTGTCCTGATGCCACCAGGCTGGGGTTAATATCCTATGGTTTTAGAAAGAGAAGAGCCTTTGTGCTTTTGAGAGTGTTCTCATGGTAAAAAGATAGAGGTTGTCTTTGCCCAGCACTGGGCATGAATTGTTTTATAAAACAGGAAGAGAACCCGGAATGTGCCTTTTTGAAGGTCTGACCAATGGGGTCATAGAATCCCAGGACCCTCGCCAATGTCAGTTTCCACTCACGGCAGCTGAGGGCTTCGACATGCACCTAGAGTGCTGGCCGAGGCTAAGGGTGGATGTCTGGACCCCATCGCAGGCTTCTTTCCTGAGCCCAGGTTCCTCATTCGGTCCCTGTCCCTTCTCAGAGCAAAGTGGATTCTGTTTTCCTCACTTGGAATAGTCAGTGTTGAAGTGGTGGCTTGGAGTGGCCTTTCTCCCAGGTTCCCTGGCTTCCAGGATCTTCATCTCATATGTGAGGCCGTAGGAGGAGTTTCCATTCATTGAGACACTCAGTGAGCGGGCACCAGCAGGCCAGCAGCTTGGCCCTCTTCGCAGAGATGGCTCTGGAGTCTGGGCAGCTCTCTTCCTCCTGCAGCTCGGCTTCCCAGGGGTCTCACGGGTTCGGAGCCTCAGCATGAAGTGGTTCAAAGGCAGTTAGAGAGCTGAGGGGCAGGGCACTCAGGGGAAGCACAGCGGCTGCCAGAAGTCCTTGAGGAGAGACGGGGCCGCTGTGTTAGAGAAACGGCAGCCTGGGCCCGTGGATGGCTCTGGCACTGGGCAGTGGCTGGTTTTCACCTTTCCTCCTGCCCCCGCCTCCCCGTAGGAGACAAGAAAACATCATTCTCCCTCTTCAGGTCCCCTTTTGAAAGAATGAAACTGTGGCACAGCGTGCCATACTAAATCAAAAAAAGGAAGAGTGGCTTTGTGTTCTTCACCCTGGTCACAGTTCTGGTCACTTCCGGCATCTGCCCTTGAGAACGGGGTGCAGCCTTGGAGCCACCATTGGCCTTGGGGAGGGTCCCACTCTCCAGCTAGCGCTTCGGGTACTGTCCAGGATCCCGGCAGTCAGGATAGAACAAAAGATGATGGCTCCGCTGGCCAAGGCTGGGCTCATAGGAAACATCTGCAGTCGGATGAAAAGAACCTGGCCTGGGAGCCCTGGACTTGGCTTACCTACCCCATATCATGTCATCCTCCTCATCTGTCTACCCTAGTGTTCAACATGGCCTTGATGAATTGTGGGTGGCAGGGACACAAGCCAAGAATACCAGGCACACGGGGTCAGAGAGCCCCGGTGATCCTCTATGGCCAGTGGATTGATCCTCTCCCCTGTGACATGACAGCTAACGCAATTATCCCACTGGTTAATTTGCTGAGCATTTTTAAACAGAAGGGAAAGATGGCATCCCAGTGCAGGTAGACTTCATTTTTGAAAGCACCGTGGCCCCTTGCCTCTCCCTTGCCCCCAGAACCTTGGCCAGACTTGAGTCTTCGTTGGGGCGGCCACACTGGAATCATTGCTCAGGGGTCGTAGGCGGAGAAGCAGGGTCATGGGCTCGGCTTCAGCCAGCAGCACCCCCTGCTTTGCCGGATCTCACAAGCGCAAGACTGAGATTCCCTTGGATATGAGAAAGAAAGGCAAGGGCTGCTAAAGGGAAGCTCCTCCCATTTTTCATAAACAGAAATAAGATGTCCTCTTTCCCAAGTTGGCACAATCACAGCTGGCAAATGAGTTGAAGGTCCTCAAATTCAGCCAGTGCACGACACCTTTGCATGTTCTTCTGAAACTGTGCTTCCTCCCCATTCTGTCTACCCGCACTCTGTGAAGTCTGCCTTTTCCTTAAACACATTCCAGACCAAACACTGTTCAGTTTGTTTCAAAAAAAAAAAAAATGTATATACCTGTATGTGACCCACCACCCTTTGGAGGGGCACCTGGCCCTGGGCTGGGGCTGCAGGTGTGCCTGATGTTTGCAAAAGGTATTCCAGTCTTTCGATGTTCAGAATTGCAAATGTGGAGCTAGAAGAGCCGGAACAGACTCCTAAAAGGAGAGTTTCTTTCCCGAAGACTCCAAGAAAATGAGTGTGCCGATGAGTTAGCTTGACAACCTCAACTTTGGGGAGCAGGCAGGCAGTCTGAGGAAGGTCAGGGCCCATGCCCCACTCACCCGGCACCTGCTTGGTGGTCCCAAGTGGTCCCAGGGCATCACGGTCTGCAGCCTGGGCACCCAGTCCCACTGTGAAGTCAGCCCTGCATGCTGGCCGAGGCCCGGCCACCTCCCGATGCCTCCAGAGTCAGTGGGAAGAAGTCAGCCCTTCCCGGACTTCCCTGCCACCTCCCGATGCCTCCAGAGTCAGTGGGAAGAAGTCAGCCCTTCCCGGACTTCCCCGCCACCTCCAGCAGGAGCAGCTCGGCTTGTGGCTCTGGGAGCCCTGCTTTTGCAAACCCAAAAAGGCTGTGCATTTGGAAGCCAAACGCTCAGCATGCGGCTGCCGAGTCTGGTTTTGTGGACAAAGCAAACTGTGGAATGGCTTCTCGGTGTCTATATAAAGGAGCACGCGATCGCATTCACCCTTTGTACTCACACCGTTTCTGCATTCGCCATATCCATTTTTTAACCTTTTTGTCTCCAGGGAACTTCTTCATATGATTATTATGTCTTCTGATGATTTGCGATGTTATTTTACTTAAAGGTGATTTTATTTTCTTATGGACAGGAAAAAAGCAAATGAGAGGAGTTGGTTTTAGTCTTAGAGATCAGACTTCAGCACAGGCTGGGAAACCCCAAACTCTAGTTCAGTTGCTTCTCGGAGGAAAATCTTGGGCTAGACAGATTGAGATCCCAGGCTCTCCTGGAAGCCTAGCATTTCGGGGCACAGGGGCCCTGGGGTGTGGTTGGCAGCCAGGCTGCGAGGGAGCTAAAAAGGTACAAGAACATCAGCCTGGATGTTCATCTCCCAGCCCTGACGCCTGCCAGTCTCCTTCCGGGGGCACTTGGCCCTGTCAGAGGGACATGAAATGCTGTCCAAATGGTGGCAGAAAGGCAGTGATATTGCAGCAGAGTCTTTGCTTTGAAAGATGGGGCATCGTGTTTCAGAGAACATTTATCTTAGTCCCACGTTCAGGTGAGAAGACCTCAAAGGTACCCTCTGTCCAGAACAAACATTGGAACAACCTCTAAATTGGCTTTTGTCACCACACATAACGTAATCTCCCTTCTTTCAGCTCCCGCAGCAACAAGCATGCTTCCCAAAAAATGAGAACGTCAAAACCAGGAACGTCCCCGCACCTACTATTACCAGGCTTGCAATTGGTTCAATATTTCCATAAAAACATGTTTGTCCAAAAGAAGGGAAACTGTGCATTTATTCCATGCATGTAATAAACTCTGCAAGAAGTTTCACCCCCATAGGTTTGCGGCACTGCAAAATTGTTCATGGGTCTGTGTAGCAAATGATTCTCTGCCTTGACAATCATGTATACATATCAAGATTTCTATCGTAATGATAATGAGATTGATGACTTCTTGTTTTCCTCCAATAAAGACAACTAATCACCTTCAGATGTGCATTTTTTCTAGAATGAGCAGGACGTGGAGTTTCAGTGTTTCCATCTTTCCCCTGCTTTCTGAAGTTTGGATTTGAAGGAAGGAAAGAGTGCATTAGGACCCCCAAAAGTCATGGAGTCCCCCCTCAATATTTCATGTCGCCTCTGCAGTAAGCAGGAAGTGGCAGGGATTGAAGGGGCAGCGCATCTCACCTTTGGGGTTGGGGACAGGTGCCCGGGTTCCGTGATCACTGGACAGGAAGGCTCCTCCTTTTCCCTGCTCTTGCACAAGGTGGCTGAAGTGAGCCCAGGAACTCAAATCACACCAACTTGATATTCTGAAGTTGTATGGAGGAAAAGCCGATGCGGATTCCCAGGAAGCGCCTCTGAGTCATGGGTGGCTGGGCAGCCTCAGGCTTCAGCAGTACAAGCGCACTTTCTTCCCTTTCCTCGGCAGACCTGTATACTCAGTCCCCAAAGGAAGATTCTTTTCCAGGCAGCAGGCTGGCTGCTGTCTTTTGTGGGGGTTCAGGAGAAACACAGGAGGAGGAACTACAGTTCATAGCTCATCAAATGTCTCATGGGGATCAGGTCTGATGCCCAGACAGTTCTTCCAATCCAAACGGGGATTGTGTAGGGAGAAAAAAATGAATTGGACATGTGCTATAGAAATGTAGAATTAAAACTGTCCCACACAGCCAGCATCAAGTGAAAACAGCATGGATGAGCTTATTGAGAAAAGGCCAAGAGCTCGAAAGAAACGCAGTTCACACTGTCTGAGGTCTAGTGCTTTTGTGGTTGGTTCTTGCTTCTGTAGCCCAGACCCTAACGGTGCGTTGTATCAATACAAAGCTGTCATTCAGTGGGTGAATAGGCAAAGTCGTTAATGCAGATTTTATGGAACATAACATTTTGATGGCAAAAAGAGGTATAAATCGTGTGCACCCAAATCCCCCCGACTCTCTGCCCCCAAGGAAAGTGACCATGCCATTAAAATCCTCTTTCATAGGTCAGGCACGGTGGCTCACACCTATAATCCCAGCACTTTGGTAGGCCGAGGCAGGTGGATCACGAGGTCAGGAGTTCGAGACCATCCTGGCCAACATGATGAAACTCCATCTCTATTAAAAATACAAAAATTAGCTGGGCATGGTGGCACCCACCTATAATTCCAGTTACTTGGGAGGCTGAGGCAGGAGAATTGCTTGAACACAGGAGGTGGGGGTTGCAATGAGCCGAGATTACACCACTGCACTCCAGCCTGGGTGGGAGTAAGACTCTGTCTCAAAAAAAAAAAAAAAAATCCTGTTTCATAGAGGAAGATTCTGATAACAGAATGCTTTCAGTTCACCTGCGTGTTGGGCCATTTGACGGAGCTGGATGTGGTCTTAGACATGTGTATACGTGGCTTGGATCAGCGCTCTTCAGCTTAAGAAAGACTGAGCAAGAGGAACTGTGCCCAGCCTCATTTTTCACATACCTGGTTGCAACACCTGTGCCGAACCCACAGAATGTGCAATTCCCAAAAGAGCACTTTGCAATTACCAAGACAGAGTGTGTATATATCTGTATATGTACACATGTATATGTATATGTATATGTATGGTATGTGTACCATGTAAGGGCTTCCAGCTAAGGGAAGTGGTGAGGTCTGATTTCCAGTCCACATCCTACATGTCAAGCCATGCACCCTGGCTCAGGGGAAAAGGTGCTTTTTTCTTCATGTAGTTCATACAAAGGCACTATATGGGGACTGGCTGGTTGGGTGGGCCCAGCAGACCTGAGAACATTGGACTGTGAGCTGTGGAACAACAGGAACTTTTTATTAGGTTTTCAAGGCTGGAGAAGTCTCTAGCTAAGAGCTCAGAATCGAACAGGCTCTGAGGGAGTTCATCTGGCTTTTTTTGTTTAGGGATGTGCGAATTGAAGACTGCATTAGCCTTCAAAAAACTATCACTAAGGGGTTGGTACATATAAAAGCACTTTACAGAGCTTGATAGACACCACACTGCGAAAACGGCTTGGTCTCCCCATCTCCCTCAAGAAATCCAGGAAGTCTTCTTGCCTTTTATTCAGGATGATTGGCAGCAACGAAATGAGATCTCAGCGCCCTCAATCCTCCCTGATCTGTTTCCCCTACAGTCTCCCATCAGTGCCCTTCCACTGATTCCAGTCATAGCTTTCATTCATTCATTCCTTTATTCACTCAATATTTGTGAGCACCTATTATATCCAAGGGTTTTCATTCATGCTAAAGAAAACCAAAGTCAGTCTGATATGAATCCAACTCGCAAACACTGCATAAAGCAGGAAGCACTTGAGTTAAGCCAGGGAGGAAGGGGAGAGTTTAGACAGGAAGGATTTCATAGGAGCAATGTGAGGGAGAGCTTGGAGGCTGGGAATGCAGCCTTCAGGTGGGCTGAATGTTCATCAGGCCAGAGCAGAGGGTGTGAGCTCTCTGCGTGGGGGGAGAGAGGTTGGCTGGAGAGACACTGGAGTCATTGTCACCAACAATAACTTCTGGAGCTACCACCATCACTTTTACTGTGTCCTTGACACTGTGCCACGTGGATTCCGTTCAATGTCTCATTTCACCACCAGCCTCAATAAGGAAGGCACCCTGATTTTCCAAGTGGTTTCAGAAAGTTTTGATATTTACCCAGCTGTAGATGTGAGCAGAATTGCAAACTCATCCGTGATTGATTGACACCAAAGGCCATTCCGCTGTCTTGTGTCTCATGGCTTTGTGTGGGTCACTGAATTCCGAACTATGAAATTTGGACTTTTTATTTAGTAGGTGACTGGGAGCCACTGAAGATTATTGAGCTGAGTAGTGACATGATGACATCAGTTAACGTTTGGAACAGCACCGTTATTAGGGACCATTGTATTATCTCCAAGAGAAATTCATCTCCTGTAATAGCTCAGGCTGGCCTTACAGGAAGCCCAGTGAACCAGCACCTGCCGAGAACATACTCATTACCAAGGAACCAGCTTGTTGATTTTTTGACGTCTGGTTCCATTTCTCAGGAGAAATATCACAGAAGCTGGATTTCACTTAGAGTCAGAGATGCAGACAGTAATAGCACTGCTGGGTTTTGGCTTTCTTTTCTTTCTTTTATTTATTTATTTATTTAAAGACAGAGTTTTGCTCTTGTTGCCCAGGCCGGAGAGCAATGGCACGATCTTGCCTCCCAAGTTCAAGCTATTCTCCTGCCTCAGCCTCCCAAGTAACTGGGATTATAGACATGTGCCACCACGCCAGGCTAATTTTGTATTTTTAGTGTAGACAGTATTTCTCCATGTTGGTCAGGCTGGTCCTTTTTCATTTTGAAAGTTAGGAGGCCGAGGCAGGCAGATCATCTGAGGTCAGGAGTTTGAAACCAGCTTGACCAGCATGGTGAAACTCCATCTCTACTAAAAATACAAAAAATTAGCTGGGCGTGATGGCACATGCCTGTAATCCCAGCTACTCAGGAGGCTGAGGCAGGAGAATCGCTTGAACCTGGGAGGCCGAGGTTGCGGTGAGCCGAGATCACACACGCCATTGCACTCCAGCCTGGGCAACAAGAGCGAGACTCCATCTCCAGAAAAAAAAGTCTAACCCCTCATTCTGATAAATAGCTCCAGGAAGTTCGGTGAGTGCACAGAGTTCCAGCCCTGACTTGCAGCCTGCCTGCCATCCGCTTTTCTCCTCCAGATCACCCTCGAAGTTACTGATTTATTTTTAATAAAGCGCTTCAGATCTCCTGTGTTCTTCCAGCCTCCCCTGAGAGGAACTGTACTTAGCATGAGCTCATCTTCCTGGCTCTCCAGAAAGACTCAGTGGGCCAGGAAAAGGCAGTTGTTGATCCAGCAGTGAACCCTTTTTCTCTTGTCCCCTGCTGGTCCCCTCTCTCTAATACTTCATCTTCAACACTGTATTTTCTTTCTTGGGCACATCAGATCTACATTGTTCTGGGGGGTCTCGCTGGGTCAGGCTGTACATATCAGCAAGTGAAGAAAAGCTCACGAGATACTGAACCTCCAGTACCTCAACCCTGACCCAACCTGGCCCTAATCACGCATTAAAGTGCAGTGACTGGCCGGGCGCGGTGGCTCACGCCTGTAATCCCAGCACTTTGGGAGGCCGAGGCGGGTGGATCACCTGAGGTCAGGAGATTGAGACCATCCTGGTCAACGTGATGAAAACCCATCTATACTAAAAATACAAAAATTAGCCAGGGGTAGTGGCATGTGCCTATAATCCCAGCTACTCAGGAGGCTGAGACAGAAGAATCCCTTGAACTTGAGAGATGGAGGTTGCAGTGAACCGAGATCATGCCAGTGCACTCCAGCCAGAGTGACAGAGCAAGACTCTGTCTCAAGGAAAAAAAAAATAAAAAACCCCAGTGCAGTGACCAACTCCTCCAATGAGGACCAGCTGGTCCCCAACACAGACACGGGAGGACAGCTAACTTTTGCAGTAATCTAGCCCAAGCGGCTTGTCACCTGGTGCCCCCAGGAAGGAGACAATGCTTACTCCAGAGCTGACAAAGGCATTAAAGAACGCTGCAGGTGGGAAGGACTTCACCTCCCTCCTGCTCCCCCTGGGCAAAGCCCTACTTCCTCTGTGTGCTCCTGGCAGATCCCCACAAGCTGCCGCTGCTTCAAGAGCTGCAGCCCAGGGCTTCTCACGCTTCACCCCACAGGATCTTGCTAGATGGCAGATGGCAGATTCTGCTTGGGACCAGAGCATTTCTTTTCTTTTTTCATTTTATTTTTTGAGATGGAGTTTCACTCTTGTTACCCAGGCTGGAGTGTGGTGGTGCGATCTTGGCTCAGTGCAACCCCTGACTCCGGGGTTCAGGTGATCCTCCTGCCTCATCCTCCCAAGTAACTGGGACTACAGGTGTACACCAACATGCCCAGCTAATTTTTGTATTTTTGGCAGAAAAAATTCACCAGGCTTGTTGGCATATGCCTGTAGTACCTGCAGCTTGGGAGGTTGAGGCAGGAGGATCACTTGCTGGGAGG